GATTCTGGCTCTCTGGTATCTTGCATGAACAACTATCCAGTTTGGCAGATGAAGAATGACCACTTGTGTGAGGTAGCAGAGGATGTCTGGCGATCCTAGAAGCTGCGCCTTGGTATGATTTGGTAGCTTTAGCAAAGTAAGCGGGGGGAAAGTCAGTGGAAAGAAAATGGGTATGACAGCCAGATTTAAAGTCTGAATGTTCTCAGTATACAGGGAGGTAAAGCTCTCAAATTATAAGTTTATACATGGGAGCGCATGGCTACATGTTCAACAGAAGAAGATTGAAAACAGGGTACAAAAGAATTCAGAAATTATCAAAAGGGAATGTGATTACTGTAGAAAGTAAGTCAAGTTGATGCGTGAGTTTCAGCAGCTTTTGGACAGCCTAAAATAACTATCTCAATCCGACTACCCCAGACTGTCTCCTGCCAGCTCGTGACCAGAGTGGCATTTATGGCAGATGCAGTTTTGGTACAGCAAGCTGTAGAGACCTGTTGTTTTTGTGCAAGGTACAAGTTGAATAAGGTACTCCGCCCGTTTTATCTCATCTTTCCACAATGCTCATGGTTTTCATTGATTCGAGTTGTGCAGTTGAAACTGTGCATTAAAATTCACATACCTACAAATATGCTTTGGAGATGTCGAGCAGCATTTGTCGTTAATCTTCACCAACCTATTTAAAAAGTGGTGAAACAGCAAAAAACCCTAGGGTTAACAACCATCAAAGCCGTGCTGTAAGCAAACCCAAACCACAGCTCATTAGTGGGACACCTACATGAGTTTGTTTAAAAATGGGATATTCTAAACTAAGGAGCTGCAATGTGCAATAATGTTATACAGTGTAAGGGGGGAGGGGAAAGAAAGACTGTGGGGAAATTTGGACACTGAACATCTGGAGTCTGGAGGTTGAACATCTGACATTTGACTTGGAGTCTGACATCTGTTCATATCTAACAGATATTGGAATGACATTTCAGCATACCATGCCGTAATGCTAAAAGCAAAGATACGTGCTTTAAGGAGGAAAATTAGAAGAGTGAATCATGCACAAACCATTCCCAGGTGAAAGGATTCGATGGCTGAAAACTGATATCCAATATTGTAGCCAGATGTTTGCAGCAGCCACTTCAGTTTGAACGTTTCGATATTTTCTCTGGGAAAAAAAAGTTATAAGTGGAAGCTATCTGAGCTTGTATAAAGAATATTTGGAGAGTTTGCCAGTTTTATAAACTGCCTCTAATCTGACGCTGGCGAGTCAGCAGCCAGTGGTGTTAATGTGGAGTATAAACTGGAGTGTAACAGACGCACTGTAGCACTCGGCTCAGCTGGACGGCAATGAGTAAAGCGGGGTCAAATTTAACAGGATGCTGTTACTTTGGTCTGCGTCCTGGTAAAGACAATACATTACCTTGAAATGATGTGCGTGGCAGGGAGAAAAAATGGGCCTGCACTCGGGGAAAACAAAGACAATCGAAGCTTTCTTCTCCAGCAGCTGCAGTCAGCTAATGAAACTGCAAATGCAGAAACTGGCAGAACAAGATATGTATTAGTTTTTGCAGATGGCACTGCAGACAAGTTGGTAATTGAACAGGAAGTCGTGTACGTGAGGTATTTGATGGGGGGGTGGGAGAGACAGCCTATTACCTCACTTAGCTAGTCTAATCACTCCAGAGACACATACTTCTATACAATTGGAAATTATGCATTTTCCCTATAACTGCTTAACCAAATTACCCAACTGTGTGGGACGCACACAAAGCCGTTCTGTTGCAACAAAATCTGTGTTTTTCTAACAAAGAACACTCGTATGTAAAAAGAAAGTTCTACACTGCTAGGTTATTAAATTAAACAATTTTCAGGTTTCTAAAGCTTTGTGTTTGATGTTCTAAATATTGCCACAAAAGCATTTAATGTTGATGTTAATCCAAAATCTCTAGTAACCAACATTTTCAGATTATTTGTGGTATGTTAACTATAAGTTATTATACATAACAATACAAAATCTTTACATTTGATATTGTGCCTTTCGCTTTGGGAGACCATCTTAAAGCACTTCACAGGATTTTACTGTTAAAGTGTAGTGACCGTATTTTGTAGGTGAACCGATGACCAATTTGCTCACAGCAATGTCCCACAAACAGTGGAGAGAGAGACCGATTGTATCTGCAGGATTGTTGCCCAGGGAGGAGCTCCCTTCAATGGTGGTGGCTATTACTATTTCTCACAAAGGGGCATTCTTATTTTTTTCATAGCATGAAACACTTGTGGATTAACTATAGCTCATTGCAGACACACACCACAGATGAAAGGTTAACAGCTTTAAAGGCTTAATATGTTTCAACAAGTGATTACGCGGCTGCTAATATTGTTGCATGTGATATGCTTATTTCACTTAGGAATTTGACTTGCATTTGGCTGCATTGTATCAGTAGGTCTGTAATTAGAACTGCTGGAGATTTATTCAATACATTCCTTTTTACAAGGGAGGGAGAGAAAAGAAGCCAGCAGGAAGTTCTGCATTTTCCCTTCAATTGTTTAAGCGTTAAATAACTCTCAAGCAAATGGTCATTTTTTTGTACTTTGTCACGGCAATCTTTTGTTAGTCAGCAAGATTAATAATTACCATGGCAGCAACAGGAACCTGATTGGATTACTTGTGCTGTTAATAATGTGATTTGTGAATTTCATGTATTACAATTGTAAATCGACATCACAATTTGTTCAAATTTTAAAAAAATTGGACTTTGGGTGATATCAGAACGGACACTGGCCAGAATTGCAGAGATGATAATCCTTGCATTTGATATAGTACCTTTCACATCAGGAAGAGGCCTCAAAATGTTTCACAGGATTTACTGTGAAGTGTTGTGGCAGCTGATTTTACGCACAGTGGTGCTCGACAAACAGCCATGAAATGGATGACCAATTTTATTGGGGGATTGCTGGCCGGGACACTGGGAGAAACTCTTTTCAAATAGTGCTGTGGGATCTTGAACATCCACCTGAATAGAGTAATGGGACCTAACATCTCATTCGAAGGATGGCACCTCTGACAATGCATTGCTTCCCCAGCATTGCGTTGGATGGTCCACTTGGGTCGTGAATTTGAAGTCCCTATCTGGGGTTAGAACATATGACCTTCAGACCTGCAGGAGAGAGTGCTTCTGACTGTGCCCAATTAAGTATAGGGTGGGGGGGTGGGGGGGGGAGTATTCTTGTTTTAAAACTGTAATTGTGTCTTTCAAACTGTTTATTGCTAACTGAAAATATTTCTGGAATCATGTTAAATTATTACAGTCATTTCAGATTTTATGGCTGTGCAGTCTACCAGCCCTCATTGCTTTTGGCTACATTCATTTTCCTTGTATCAATGATTAATGGGCAATGTTGAATGTTGGAGTGAGCAGGCATCAGCAAATGTAAGATCGTAATTAGTTTAGCTGACGAGTCTTTCAATGGCGCTTGCATCTGGTTGGAAAAATTACCCTATAGGGAACTGGCTGCTCACCAGGTTTTTTTTGTGTAATACATTGTGAAACGCCAGATGAATCAAGTGCTTTTTTGTTCCAAGAAACTGCTCTAGTCTTGAAGGCAGAAATATGTCTATAAAATCCTTCCACTTTGAATATATCAGAATACAATTATTAGCATTATATTCTCCCCAGCTATTTTGGTGAGCGCTGCACTTGTAAAGGAGAGCTTTCAGAATTAACTTGTGCTCTTTCCATGATGGATTATGAACGTGCATCCGAGTTTAAGTTGTATTGACTCATAAAGTAATACGTTGTTCATGGCAACTTTTTTTTGCTTTGAGAGTTGCATATAATTTTTCCAAAGATTTGTGTGAATTAAGGGTTTGATTACTTTTTGCTTCACAACGAAAATAGGAATAGTGGACTAATATAACAGCAGATATTTATTGTTCAGTTTAAAAGGCTGAACTAATGTTGCATAACTCCTTTCTCTGGGGATGTGAAAGTCATGTCAGCCTGATGCAGTTGATAGCAATCTCGCTTCTGAGTCGGAAGGTTCTGGGTTCAAGCACCACGTCATGACTTGGAACTCGCATAGTCTATGCTGACTCTTTAATGTAATGCTGGGTTTGCCTCATTGTTGGAGTTGCTGTCCTTTGAATGAGATGCCTAGAACCCATCTACCTATTCAGGTGGATGCTAAAGATCTTGTAGCAGTAATTGAAAAGAGAAGGGAGATTCTCTCAGGGTCCTGGACAACTCCTAATTTTAGTCAATCTCTTGACTAAAATTCTTCATTCACTTTGTGGCTGTTTGTGGGACATTGCTGTGTACAAATGGACTGTCGCATTCACCTACAAATAGTCAATGCTCTTTACAGTATATCCTGTGAAACACTTTGAAATGTCCTGTTGGCATGAAGGTACGCTATCAAATTTAAGGATGATTATTTATTATTCATTTGGTTTTAACTATTTACAAATCAAACTGCATGTTATATTTGATGGCATTTTGCACATGTGTTTTGTTTTATCCTGCATCTGAAAATAATTCACATCATTGTCAGAAATTGCAAAATAAAGGTTTGAATGGAAATGCTTTGACGGATTGTTTCAGGATATAATATCACTGTGTTTCACAGAATTGTGAATCAAGGGGAAATGCTAAAACGTCTGGATACAAAACAAATTATGTAGTTTTTAAAAAAAAACTTGCTTTAACGTCTTTCTTGACTTAAACTTTAAGGACGAGAATCTAGAAAGCCTAACAAGTTAATGAAATTGCCTTCATAATGTTCTGAATATTCTGCAGAAATGATTTGATGGATTTTCTCTTCTTAATGTCTCACTGTTTGCTTAATTATAATGGGATTCAGCAACTGCGATTAGTCACAATTAAAAGTGACCTTACTTTGAGCAACTTTGTTTGCTACGGTTATTTCTGCCAGAATAGAGACAAAACTCTTGTGTTTGATTTGCCCTAACTTCACAAATCACATGATATACCTTTGACCTTTTGCTGTTTCAGAGACGAAGAGGCTCTGGAGTGTTCTGTGCCAACTGCCTGACCACAAAGACCTCTCTTTGGCGAAAGAATGCAAACGGTGGATATGTATGCAACGCATGTGGGCTGTACCAGAAGCTGCACTCGGTAGGAAGAACCTATTGGTTATTCAGCAAAATGCTTGTAAAGCCGTGTTCGAGTAGGATAGATATGATGCGTTCTTGTTTGATCAAATTCAGTAGTCTGCCTAATTAATTTCCCTCAGGGGATTCCCAGTGTGATCATTCAGAGATCAGAGGTGTTTCATTATTACAACATTGAACGCTGGTGGAGCTTAATGCTCTCTCCACTTTTTTGCTAGACCAGGGAGGGGGAGGTGTGTGTGCAGGTATACACTCACACACATACACACACACAAATGATTCATTGTAAATCATTTTTGAAGACTTTGGGATTTAAAATTCTTTCCTTCACCTTTGAAGATGCTAATTCAGTGTTGGTGGCTGATTCCTGTATATCACCCAAAAGACCATTCTTCATCTCTGAGCTGGACAGTGGATATCTGGGGTGAGGTGGGTGGATGGGAAGCATCTTTAACTGATATCCATACATGTACCTTCCAGCAGGGAATAACTTATCGAGCAGGAGTTGTGAATAATATTTTGTTTCTCGAGCCTATAGACACTGCGGTCAAAGGTGAGTTGTTCAGATCTGGAATGCATTGCCTGAAAGGGTAGTGGAAGTCGATTTGATAACAACTTTGAGAGAGAAGTAGATAACTATTTGGGAGGACAAGTTTGCAGGGCTGTAGGGAGAGAACGGGGAATGGGATTCATTTGGATAGTTCTTTTCAAAGAGCCAGCACACACACGATGGGCTGAATTCTGTGCTGTATAATTCTATGATGTCAGCTAACTTACTTAATAATAATAATAATAATACTAATAACAATAATTCTGGTATAGCTCCTTTTACCTCAGGAGTATGTTCCAATTCGCTTCACAGGATTTACTGTGAAATGGAGTTGCTGTGTATTTGTAGGCAAACATGGCAGCCTAATTGTGGACAGTCATGTCCCACAAATAGTCATGAAACGAATGACCAATTTTATTTTGGGGATTCTGGGCTACAGCGCTGGGAAACACTCACTTCTCTTCTGAGTAGTGAAATCTTTAACATCCATCTGAACAGGCAGGCAGGACCTTGGTATAATGTCTCATCCAAAGGACAAGACCTCCAACAATGCAATACACCCCCAGCACTGCACTGGAGTGTCATCTTAGATTATCACAATTCAAGTTTTGACATGGTGCTTGAACCTACAATTTTGTGACTCAGAGGCAAGTGTGATACCAACTGAGCCAACAGGACACATCTTCATTTAATGAGGATGAAAAACAGTGACTTTCTGGTTTGTGTGCTTCAGTTTCACATTGGCTAGTGGCTTTACAAGTTAAACTTATGGGGGAAATGTTATTCCAATGTTAGCTTTTAATTGAGGCTGAAAAGAGTCGAGTGGCATTCGCTTAGGCTTCTGGGGAAATGCCAGGTTTATTCCATGCATGATTGGCATCAGTCCTGTAAACAGCTAGCCCCAAAGGAAACATTCATTCAGGCCTTCACTGAGGTCATTCAGCACCTTGATAGCATGTCTATGCAATAAAACCCTTATCTTTATAAATCGTATAATTACCTAAGTCGTACATGCAACCAAATCCCATTCCGTTTCCTACCAAAAAGCACTTAGATTTCTTTGCACTAGTCATTTTATACAGCAAATATCTTCTAACTCGTAACTCTGCTACCACACTAACTGGCTGCATTGAAGTATGCATGCACAGTGTAAATTATTGATTAAATCGGATTTTGTATGACTTGCACAAGTTTGTCTAACTCATACTTTGCATGTCATATTCAATGTTATGATGTGATTTATGTGAGTTCTGCTCTACAAACAAGTCCCCATGTGGCCAGCAGCTTTTATTTACAAGCAGATCCTGAGTATACCAACATCATTGCTGAACTGGAGAGAGACCATTGTCTCATAAAAAAGGCTGATTGATGGTGGGATGTCCCTAATGATTAAAGTTTGGTTTCAAGATTTTCCTGTGATCAAAACTAAGATGCCGTGCAAACCAGAAACAAAGGGGAAAACAAAAAATGGTATACAAAGCAATAATTCCCAATGGTGCTCACAGCTGTGATTACTGAACAATGTGACAAACTCTATTTTGCAAGGAGAGATTCGTAGATCTCTCTATGCCAAGAGCATATGACTAATGGTTATCCAAGTAGGCTGGAGTAGACCAATATATACCCAGCTGCTTTTTGGAATCAGTAAACAAAATCAAAACAACTAAAACTAGGTTCAGCTCTCTAAATGACTTTCCTGGGACTAACCCATTTCTACAAGGGATTTTTTGTGTCGATCAACCATCCGAATAATTGCATGGGCAAAACGTTCACACCTGAAAAATCCAGCAGAGATAGCAGTGGCAAATTGTAATCAAAGAAATAAATGGTAGTCTTGCCTTTTTTTAAGAAAAATTAAGCATAGTTTTCCCCTATTACTCAGTTTGTTACTGTATGGGTAGTCTACAGAAACTGAATATTAATCTGTGCTCAAAAAATAACCTTTTATCTGTTTGATCAATAATGTTGAGTTGGATTTCCTGCAAGCTGTTGACTGCAGCATGCAGAATTGTTTCGCAGCACAGAAGGCCATTCGATCCATTATTCTGTGTTAGTTTTCTGAAAGAGCTATTCATCTAGTCCAACTCCTCATTATCTGTTCTTTTTCAATATTTGGAAAATAAAAAGGGAATCTGGGAATCTTATTGGGTGGGTTGGGGGGGCGGCGGGGAATGTGGTGTGCATTATCACTGACGATGATAATTCTCACATCAGCACACAACATACTTTGTGTGTATGGACAATGAATGCTGTAGCATTGATCAGTGATTGTATAGGGTGGGTAGGATTTCCAGGCGCACCCCTCCTCCCTCCCACTTTAGAACAGGTATCCACTGTATAGAAATTTGAATCAAAACCAAAATAATATTCCTTGCATTTGATATTATGCCATTCATATCAAGAAGACACCTCAAAGAGCTTCACAGGATTTACTGCAAAGTGTAGTGACTGTATTTTGTGGGCAAATGCATACAATGCAGCAAAATGTAGGAAAGGCACAACAGTTTTGGTGAAGGGCAATTTCAAAATGTTAAACCTCTCTCGCTCTATGAGATGCTGGCTGACTTGCTGTGAATGCCCAATGCACCTGTTTGTGTTGTTGCTAATAGATGCAGTGTTGATGTAGGGTGTCTCAGCTGTGATTTTTCCCAATTCTGGAGGTGTCAACAGGCTGTCTTAACTTATTCACTTAGGATGCATCTCCTATAACTCTGGCAGCCACCTGGACAGCTGTCTACAATGTAGAGCATGTGTTCAGCAAAGCAGATAGTAAGGCTCAGAGCCCATTGTGCAATTATAGAATTATTATTTGAACCATGGGTGAAACCTGCTGTCTTAACACTAAACTGCTGTGTAAACTATACAAGCTAGTCAAATTCCTTGCATTTCCAAAAACTTGTACTCATACATTCTTTATTTTCTTACGATTTTTAAGCCCTGCTATTATATTCCTCATGTTCAGCTGCTCATCACCTCTCCCTGAATGGAATTCCACTATTTTGTGTGTGTGTGTGTGTGTGTGTGTGTGTGTGGGGGAGGGGGGGATCAAAACAAGCATAAATATATGCTGCTCATTGCACAAAGTTAGCAGATAGTCATAGGAGAATTAGAGAATCATTTATTGGGCTTGGGCTTGCAGATACCCGTGAGGGCCCCATACCAGCTGAGGACATTGTATTAGTCTAAGATTCCTGACTCATTAAGCATTAATCTGAGTACAACTGCACAGCGTTATGAAAATTATAATGTGCCTTATGGATTTTTGTGTTATAGGTATAATTTTTTTTCTTTTGTTCTCTCCTAGACTCCGAGGCCTTTAAATATCATCAAACAAAGTAACGGGGAGCAGATTATTCGACGACGCACAAGAAAGAGGCTTAACCCTGAAGTCCTCCAAACAGATCAAGTAAACAAACAGCAGAGGGTGAACAGCGAGGAGCAATCGAATGATGGTTCCCTGGAGAGGAAACCTGATGACCACCCTGCTGACGGTCAACACCGAGAGCAGCAGCAGCCTAGCCTGAGCAAACTTGACATGTATGGTTCAGTCAGTAAACCGCACCATGGCCAAACAGCATTGGTGGTTGGCCAGACTGCAGACCTTCACAGGAGGATGCAACCTCTTCACATCCAGGTGAAGAACCCTCAGGAAAGCAGCGGCGATTCAGGAAATTGTTTGCCTGTTTCGGAAGGAAAAGGAGGTTCAGAACGAGGGAGCCCTATAGAAAAATACCTTCGACCTACAAAGCACCCAAACTACTCTCCTCCAGGAAGCCCTATTGAGAAGTACCAGTATCCATTATTTGGTTTTCAGTTTGTGCATAGTGATTTACAAAATGAAGCTGACTGGTTGCGGTTCTGGAGTAAGTATAAGTTGTCTGTCGCTGGAAATCCACACTACATGAGCCATGTCTCTGGCCTCCCGAACCCCTGCCAAAACTTTGTGCCTTATCCTGCCTTTAACCTGCCTCCGACTTACTCATCCCATGGACCTGATAATGACATTCCTTTGGATCTGGCGACAAAGCATTCCAGATCAGGACCAACCGCAAACGGTGCCACAAAGGACAAAATCACAGCGTCGGTATCCACGAAGGAGGAGTGTGGGGAGAACGCGGTAAAAACGCCGGACAAAGTTGACAAAGGCACTCAAGATGAATCGCTGACAAAGTGCATCCACTGCAGCATTCTCTTTATGGATGAAGTAATGTATGCATTACATATGAGTTGCCATGGTGAAAACGGACCCTTCCAGTGTAGCATATGCCAGCATTTCTGTACAGACAAGTATGACTTTATGACACACATTCAGAGGGGCCTACATAGAAATGTGCAATCTGATAAAAATTGCAAGCCTAAGGAATAGAACTCTAGTACTGTAACCCAGTGAGTACACGTTGCATTTTAGAATTTGGGAGAACAATCAGAATATTATTTTTCTAAAAAAAAGGAAATGTAAAACATTTGAAAATGATGGTGCCTGACACATTGTATAATTTTTTTCTATAAAGTATGCAACAAAGATATTGCATTATGCTTCAGAGTCGGAATAATGACTCGTTCCTAGCTGTTTACATGTGCAAATGTAGCAAAAAGAAGTAATGAAGCACCTATTTCTATTTCATTAGAACTCTTTCTTTCACGTAGTGAAATATACCAACATGAAACAAATATGGTTGTTGCTAATGCAAAGTACAGAAGTAGCTCAATCTATTTTCATGCTTAAATAGGGAAAAAAATGGGTAGCCCTATGCATTCCAGTTAATGAATATTAATGTACCTTGTGTTATCTATCAAAGCTCTTAATTCATATTGTTAAGCTTGAAAAGACTATATGCACATTGTTATTGCTTTTCAATATTATGTTTCAAGTGAAACCGTTTGAAAGTTGACGGTTCTTAACAAGTGATGGTGGAATCACTATTCTGCTGTTGACTTTGTTTATCGCATTTTTCCAGTGGCATCATACATCGGTCTTATAATGAAATGCAGTCACTCGTTTCAATGCATGGGGCAGCGTTTCTGGGAGCTGAAATGGCTAGTGTGCGATTTTTAAACTGCAATTTTTTTTTAAAAAAGAAAAGATCAGTTGGAGTAACTACCGACATTTGTAAATCAAAAGTAGCCTCTTTATATCTTTATTAAAAAAATATTGTTTTCCAATCCATCAATACTTCACAATATTGTTTCTCAGCAAGCCGTCCAAATTCATAAAACAAAAAGCAAGGAAATTGCTGCCTCTGCCTTGATCTCATATGGGGATTATTCCTGACTGTCATCATGCATGTAATTTTGTGATTTTTTTTCTTTTTTTAATCGCACCTACACATTCTTTCTGTATCCTCCATGAAAGCTATTTCAGACAGAACTGAGGTTATTTACATCTAAACTTGAATAATAAAGTTTTACCAAAAGTATTAAGTGAAGTTTTCTGATACAGTGAGAGCAAACTATGTTTTCTAAATTCTGGGTCCCCTTGTGCCTGTGTTTAAATGTTGGTGCTTCAAAACTGCTGTGAGTGCAAAATATGGAGTACTGTGTGTGGAAAGTGCGAAATCTTTATACAGGAAATTTAAATATGTACACTATTAGTAAAAAAAATGCAATCATATTCTTGTGGTGGGTGTTACTGATTATTGCAAACATACTGAGGCGTTTTGCAACACAAAGCTTTTCACGATTTTGGATCTTCAGCTGCAATAAACCTCAAGACAAGTCAACACCCTATTAATTTTGCATATTTTTTAATATTCAATGAGAAACTATGGACAGTGTTGGTGAAGATGTTCACTATGCCTGGGTTCATCCTCTCTGCTTTCAGCATTCCAGTTAAAATTGTTTTTTGTAAACCTCCGTATGATTCTGCAACAAATGAAACTATACGTGGTCACCCGGAGGATGTGTTGCAGGAGCATCAGATCTTTTTTCTAAGTTACATTGGTGTAGTCAACACTAAGCCTGCAAACATAGTGGGAACAGCCATGATCAACACTTTCTTAAGGTGATTCATGTAGATGCATAAGAACAGCAACCAGGTTTTTCCAATGGTAGGCACAGAGATGGAGGGTGGACGTAATGTTCACAAAGCCTCTCTGTAGTCACAATACAACTATTAGTCGGCTATTGATGACACATAACCGACTATTGATCACAGATAGCTAACCATTGATTATAAATGGCTGGCTATCGATTTGATAATATGTAGCCAGCTATCGATTTGATTATACATAGCCGGCTATCCATTTGATTATTGATTTGATTATAGATAATTGGGTATTTACTCATTTTAGTGTATTTTTGAATAAATACTGTGCACATGAGGGAGGAATGTTACAAAGTGAAACTATAAAAATACTGGCAATGTGTAGCTTTTCATTTGCAATCTGTTTTGAAGAATAATCCCTCCAAAAACTAAAAACAATAATAAATTGGTCATTTTCAATCTACGACTATTTGTGGGACATTGCTGTGCGCAATTGGCTGCCGTGTTCGCCCACAAATATACAGTCAATTCACTTTACAGTGTGTTCTGTGAAGCGCTTTGGGACGTCCTCCTGATGTGAAAAGCGCTATATCAAATGCAAGGATTATTGTATTATCATAAGGTTAACAAAAAAAACACAAAATTTAACAACTGCTCTCAGACAGTTAAACACTAATCCCACATCCCATTTCAATAATGACTCACTTTTACAGGAAGTCTGCATCATCAGTTGTTCAACACTTGGAGACATATCAGGAACTATGAATTAATTTGTGAAGTCCTCAATCAAAGTTCAATTCATGGGAGAAGACATTCATTTGTAGAATTTACTGCACTACAGAGACCCAGGGTGGAATCTTATTTACAAATTATGATTGATGGATTAATCTGATGGGCTGAGATGCTATCAAATTTTTAAAAATCTTTTTGGCCTTCAGGGGTTTGTAAGATAATTGTTCTTAAAAGAGATTAAAATGCATTTTTAAAAAGCTCTACCAGAATGAAATGATTAGTTAATTTTTATGAATTGTCGAGCACAAGTTCCTTGTGAAGAGAAATGGTTTGCTGTGACCTCTGTTGGGTCTCATCATTCAAGCTTTGAAACCAAGGCCATGTTCCCACATGACGCATTATGTTTGTACCTGCGCCAGTTAGCTGGTTCTGCCCTTAACTCTGATGATGACTATTCTTGCTTTCCATCATTTATTTAATGCAGACCTTCATTTAGCATTGTCTCTTTGTGTGTTCTGCCCAATTACTTGAGTTTCCAATGGTACTTCTCATTTTGCATTGGTCTATTAGCTCTGGATCATGGCTTCCTTAACTGTCTTCAGACGTGCTCTTTAAATCAGAGCAATTATTGCATGAGATCTCGTTGCATCTTCATAGCCCTTGGTGCTGTTCAGCTCGCTCATTTTTCTTTCACAATTGTATTCTGTTGCAATAGATGCAATAATACCATGCTCATGGCCAACACGTAAAACATAAATACATATTTGCATGTTATTTAGCGTCTTTCATATCGGGAAGATGTCTCAAATAACTTCATAGGGTTTTTCATAATAATCTTAACATTTTGTATAATGCCTTTCACATCAAGAGGAAGTCTCAATGTGCTTTATAGGTTATACTATGAAGTGCAATGACTGTATCTTGTGGGCAAATGCAATGACCCATTTGTGCACAGCAATGTCCCACAAACAGCAGCATCAATTTTATGGCGGCAGGTGGGGTGGTGGAGAAAGGGGGAGGTTGCTGGGACACTGATTAAGAACTCCTAGTGCCTGTGTATTCCAAAATCCTGCATTTCGACAGCAGTAATTCCCAGACCATTACCCATTGACAAAATGCTGTTAACGTTTGCTCCAAGGCAGACAATAGCTGTGCCCAGGTGAGTGGAAAGCATCCACTTTGAAAATAGTTTTTAAACTGCCATACGAAATGATCAAACTGAATTAGTGTTAGAAACTAGGTGCTGGTTTCTCATGGTTCTGTGCAATTTCATCATCCCTTTGTGACTTTGTGATTCATTTCGCTCGTCTCTGCAAAGGTTTTATTTGGAAACTTGCTGCAGATGTCTAGAACTATTTGGTTCAAATTAAAAGTGAAAGACCATGATTTTCTGAGAGTGGTCTCAAATGGGCTGCACATTAAAAGTATCTGTCACACACATTAACACATGCGCTATGTATAGGGAAACACCTGCTTTATCTGCTGGTTTATCCTTGAGAATGGGATGGGGGGGATAGTGCAGCAGAGTTTATTTTGGTGTGATCTGGCTCCAAAGTCAAGTGCCTGGAAATGGAATATCAAAACTGTGTCAAGCTTCTGTGGTAGTCTCAGTAATCCGGTTCCTAAAGCAGGTGGGTCTCCAGCATTTGAAGATATTGCTGATGACAGATCAGCCTCAGTAGTGAGACTTGGAAGTGCAACAACAATGAATTATGTTAATATATCACCCTTCATGACAGAAGGACATCCCAAAGTGCTGAACAGTTGAGGGTTTGCACCCGAGCTGGGGATTGAAATCAAGTGAGGTAGTGGGGGTGGGAGGGTGAGTAAAGCCCGGTCAAAGAAGGTGTTGAGATAGGCCTTAAAGAAGGCAGGAGATGGAGCAAAGCAAAGGGATTCCAGGATGGAGTCTCAGAAGGTGGGGGCAGAGAGGCTGAAGGCCTGACCTCCAATGATGGGGCAGGCAGGGTGGGGGTCATTGAGCAGGCCAGTACTTGCCGATTGGGGGAAGCAGACAGGATGGTATGGTGTTAACAGATTGCAGAAGTAGGGAAGAGCATGATCTTGAAGGGATTTAAAAGTGAGGACGAATGTTTTAAATTTGATCTTCTGGGGGATGGGGAGCCTGTGGAGCTGGGCGAGGAGAGGACATGAGCTGAATAATCTGCAGCTCGTGGAGGGAAGTGGTGGGAAGACCGATGAGAAGGGAGTTAGCGAAATCAAGCCTGGATGTGATGAATGTATGAATAAGGGTGGAGGCAGTGGCGGGCAATGTTGCAGAGGTGGGGGAAGGCAGAATGGGTCATGACGAATGTGGGCTTCGTAGGACAATTGAGGGTCAAAAAGGACAACGAGGTTCTGCACTGGCTCTGTAAGGTGGAGAGTGCATCTGCAGACTACATGATGAGGTAGGAATTCTTCCCACTTGGTTCCTGTTAGACCTTTCAGCTAAATGCTGAACAGGTAGGTAAGTCCACGCTGGACAAGCAGCAGCAAGAGTTTTTCTCTATTTGAACCACCCAACCTAATTCCTTTCAGCTGCTCACGCTTCATACCATTAACTTAAATATCTTAAATTGTTTGTCTCAACAATAACTTGTAACAGAGAATTTCACATTGTAACCACCCACTGTCTGAAGCATTTTTGTCTTAACTATAACTCTTTCATTCCTCTTTTGGAGATCTTTTTTTCTAGCTGTGATGGTTTCTAAGCTACAAAATACGCAATCACTACATTTTACACTACAATTTACTGCAGTG